GTGTGAATAAAGGGATATAAATATAAAGTTAAAATCAATTTGTGGAAGACCTTCTATATTTCTGTATCATAAAAGGAAGTTAGATTTTATAGGAAATAGCTGCAGGTTTCATAGTGGGTCTAAAAACTAATTGAATTGGTATCGATATGTATGAGAGGTAAGTGTTAGGAAGGAGACTCTTGAAGATGAACATTGATGACCTCTGTTAGATTTTAACACAGCTGCTGTCAGTAGGGAGTCTTATTCAGTGCTATATACTTAGCAACGTAGATCACTGACATACATTAGCACTCAATAGAATATTAGTGCATTTATAATAATCAAATCTGGATGAATACTATTTCCATCTTCAAATAGTACATTTCTGTGTGTTGGAAGCCATCACACTCATTTTTCCTCCAGTTATTTTTGATGTATAAGTGATTGACGTAAACCATAGTGACCTTCCTATACTATAGAGCAGCAGAACTACACACCCCCACAGATGTTTTGGTATCTGTTAGCCACTCTTTCCCAGCCTCTAGTGACTTCTCTTCTGCTACTTCTGTTAATCAGCCTTTTTATTTTCCAGAGATGAGTGAGAACTTGCAGCGTTGTCTTATCTGTGCTGGCTTCTTTCACTTAACATATTACCTGCCAGTTCCGTCAGTGTTGCTGCAGTCACAGGGTTTCATCCTTTTGTATGACTGGATAATATTCCACTGTGTGTATATACCATTTTTTTAAAATGCATTTATCACTGGACTTCTCAGTGGATTTCATATTGTGAATAGTGGTGCAATAAACATGGACGTGCAGGTATCTCTTTGATACAATATTTCATCTACTTTGGGTATATTGCAGCAGGATTATTAGGTCACATGTAGGCCTCTTGAGGTTTTTTAGGAACCTCCGTAGTGTTTTCCACAGTAGAAACACTAGTTTACATTCCCACCAAACAGTATTTGAGATTTTCCCTTTCTCTGCAGCCTTACCAGCATTTCCTGTTGTTCATTTTTGCAATAGCCATTCTGACCAGGGTGAAATGTCTGTGGCTTAGATTTCGTTTCCCTGATGACTACTGATGTTGAACATTTCTTCCTATACTTGTTGGCCATTTTTGTTCTTCTTTTGAGAAATGTCTATTCAGATCATTTGCTCATTTTTTAATCAGATTGGTTTTTTGCTCTTGAGTTCTTTGGAGATGACTAGTTTAATAATCCACCCACCTACATGTCAGAGCCTGACAACAAATGGGGCAAAAGTAAATATTGTTAACAAAGCCCGAATGTTGTGCTAAAGCTTTCCTTCAGATGTTTTAGCTAAAGTATAGTTATTTAGACTCAAGATACTTACTTTAATAGGATGGCTGGAGCAAATATACCTGTGCCATATTAAGTCTCACCGGGGTGAGTTATTTTTTGGTGGTTTCTTTTTTTGTTGTTTGTTTGGGGTTTTTTGTTTTGTTGAGACAAGGTCTCACCATGTAGCCCAGGCTAGCCTTGAACTCGTGAGCAATCCTCTCACCTCAGCCTCCCAAGTGCTGGGATTACTGGTATGTGCCACCACACCCAGTTTACTTTGAAAGGTAATAGTAGTTTTAATCAACATTGAAACCTAATCCAAGATAATCTTCCTCCTTTTCTATTAACAAATCTGAATATTTACTGTGAATGTGATTTCTGTCTTCATAGTTTCCTTCCTTTAAAAAATCTTATTTAGCCAGGTATGATAGCACACTTCTATAATCCCAGTATTTGGGAGGCCGAGGCAGGAGGATCACTAAGAGTTCACAGCCAGCCAGAACTAAATAAGGGGACCCTGTCTCAAATTAATAAATAAATAAACAAGCTTAAATAAAAGATAATAGGAAATAGGGATATCGTTCTCAGATGGGAACTAGATCAAGAGATGAGAGGAAGCAGAGAGAAAGCGGGTAGAAAAAGGAATCGGGATGTGTTCTGTACATGTACCAGCTCCACACAAGGATTGTGAACGAGTATGTACTGCAAACGTATACTAATAAAAAATAAAAACTAATAAAAAGTAGTGTTGGAGAGAAAATAAAGGAGATATTTGAAAGCAAAAACTAAAAATATCTTACATATCATGTTTTCTAGTTAATCAACTCTATTCATATGTGTGTTTTTTTAATCCCTAAAAGAACCTTACATGAGGTTGGTTAGTAGGAATCTGTGTCCCCTGTGACGGGCAAATGTGTGATTGAGCCCAAACAACATAGCTGACACACACTGACGTTTCTGCTGTATTTGGTGTTCCATGTAGGGGCTTGGAATGTCAGAGTATTTGCAAGGGTAGGATCTGAGACAGAAGCGGCCTTTGGTACTGGTTTCATCCTCAGATATTTTACAGTCTCTTTATGGCCTGTGAAATGGGGGTACCTACTATAGTTACTCTAGACCTGTACCATCCAAAATAGCAGCCACTTGCCACATGCATATTAAGCACTGCAAAATGGACTAGTGTAAGCATGGTACGTGCATGTACCAAATCTCTACAGTGAGTGTAATCATTATGTATTGCACATGTGTACTAATAAAAGTCAAAAAACTTAAGTATTTTTTTGAATTGGCTAGTATAAAGTGAGATGGCTCTTATGTGTAAAATAGACAACTAATTTCAAAGATTTAGTTTACCTTTTTCTTACGATCATTAATTATTAACAGTTTTTTATACTGGTCACATGTTGAGATGATAGTGTTTTAAATACACTGTGTTAAAAAGTATTGTTGCAGTTAATGTCACCTAGTTTAATTTTTAAAATATAATACTAAATTGATATGTGTGGCTTGCATGGAATTTCTTTCAGACAGCTGTACTGTAGACTTGGAATAGTCTAGTCCAGTGGGGGCAAACCTGTGGCAAGTATGTCACTGCAGGCACACAGAGCCCTCTCTGTTGGCATCAGGTTTAATTGCAATGTTGGCAATAAGTGAGTCTGGGTCGCAGTTTGGGCACTTGATCTCTAGAAGGTTCGCCATCGTGGGTCTGTCTCTGGCTCCCCATATCCAGCCAGGTGCTTGTTTTTGTTTGTATTGCTTTATTTTGTTTTTGCAGTACTGGAGATTGAATCCAGGATTCTAATATGCAAGGCAAATGCTCTACCATTTAGCTACATTCCCACTGCTAGATGCCTGTTTTGATAACTAGGTTTATTTATTTATTTATTTATTTTTGCCTTTTTGAGACGGTATCGCTATGCAGTTCAGGCTGGCCTTCAGCTCACTTTGTAGCCCAGGCTGGTCTCAGACTCACAACTATCTTCCTGCCTCAGCCTCCCAAATGCTGGGATTACAGGCGAACACCACCACACCTGGCTTGATAACTAACTTTATTGCATCTCCAGTTTGAGACATAGACAAGAAGTAGATTAGTGGCCGCCAGGAGAAGAGGGGAGTGAAAGTGACTGCTGATGGTTACAGGGTTGGGGGCTAAAGGAAATACTGGTAGTTACATTACCTGGAATAAACTGAAGCATCTGGATTGCACTTTAAAAGGGGGGGGGATATGTAGATGATACCGCAACTTATAAAAAAATAAGATATGTGCCTATGCTGTTAGAAATAATAAAGCAGGGCCGGGGATATAGCTCATTGGCACAAGCATCTGCCTGCCAAGCGCAAGGTCCTGAGTTTGATTCCCAGTACCAAAAAAAAAAAAGAGAAAAATAATAAAGCAGTGTGGGCCATATTAATGATAATAAGAATGTGCAAAGATACAAATGTAAATCAGTTATGAGGACAATAAAACAACATTTAATCAGTTTTCATATATTTACTATATATATTCCCTTGTCATAGACAGTTTTTAATTACCACTAAAGAGTTCATGTCACTTGAGAACACAGTTGTCTTTTGGGCTTTATGAGGTGTTTGTTTCAGGGTTACCAGAATCTGTAGATACACTGTCATTTCAGGAATGATAAGACTAAAGTCTGTACATGTTAAGTATAGATGCAGTTTTTGCCTCACATAGTTCAGTCTGAGGTTGATCTAGTCAACTGATGTAAAACCCACAAATATAGAGAGCTGACAGCATTTGCAACTTGTTGGCACTTAGTTGTCATTTACTGCTTAAACTATCTTTGCTCCTTACTCATCCAAAAGGCTTATAATTAAAACACAATCTTTTAGCGATAAACTTTAAGATAGTGCACAATAATACATAGCCAGTCTCATACAGCTGAGTAAATACAAAGTATAGATAAGAACACTTATAAATGTTAATTCTCTTTTAAAAACACTTCTCTAAATACAGAAAGCATAACTATAGAATTTTTGGCAAGCTTTTGGAAGGAAAAAATATAAGCAAAAAGGAGTTGGAAGACCATTCTAAAATATCTTTATCTTGTATTGTGTAGCTGTTTTATCTTCATTGAATTATGAAGCACCTGCTTTATACAAATCTTGTTACTTTTACATTGCTTTGAAACTGACAAAATATTACCTGCTTTATAGAATTGATTCACTAATTTGTTATACATAGGGTACAACCGTGTACTTTTTATGCCATCTAAAAACCAGTAGAACATCATTTTCCTTCCAAACACTGGCGGTGGGTTTTACTTTTATTCCTCTGAAAACACTTGGTTTTACAGCACTTTAAGTACCATTTGTACTTGAGATCTAAGAGTATGGGCTTTGGAGCTAGGCAAACCTAGTTTTTAAGTACATCTTAATTTACTAATTTAATGTGGCCTACAATAGGCTATTTAGTATTTCTCTACGTCTCCATTTTCTCATTTCTAAAATGAGGTAATACCTTCTCCAGTAACTTTTATTAAGGAATTAATAAGAAAATTAATATAAAGTACTTAGCACATAGTAACCACTCAATAAATGGTAGTCTTACATTATTGCCATTTACTATCTTAAGTTTTTTAAATCAGACTAATAAATTTATTTAGTTGTCAGCATCATACATTTCACTATGTATTTTACTGACTACTACTTTTTCAAAAACGTAACAAAGTAATAAGTAACATTCTATTTTACTTTCAGTCAAAGAAAAATAAGAAGAAATCAAAGTCAGATGCTAAAGCAGTGCAAAACAGTTCACGCCATGATGGAAAGGAAGTTGATGAAGGTATTTGAGCAAGGGAAAGGACCCTAGAAAATTTTTAAATCCTTTTTTTAAAAACCAAGGTGTATTATATAAAAGCTGCATTTGTTTCACTTAACCCTGTATCTAGATAATTATTACAGATTTTAATATATATATATCTGTAACATGGTTAGGAAACACTTACGTTATCAAAATTAAGACTCCTTGAAATTTTAGGTCTACCTCAGTATTTTGAGCAGCTGAAAAGCCACTCATTATGTCTTTGTTTCTTAAAAAGTGTGATGTGGGTGTTCCTCATTGGTCATATGTATACCGTCCCTGGAAGGCTGTGTGCAAATCTTGAACAAACATTTATTATCATAACCTATTAGACCCATTTCTTAGTGATTTATATATCTGTGGAGGTTTTTTTTACTTCTACCCCTTAAGATAAAAGGATGTATAGTGATTTATTTCTATCATTTTTTCTAAACCATAGATGATAGATTTGATAAAACTTTACTAGAATAAATAATCATAGTCTGTTGTCTAAACAACATGGTGAGATGAAAATAAATTCTCAGGATAAGTTAATTTAATCAACACTCTTGGTTTTTAACCTAATATCTAAATTTATCATGATATCTTGTATGCCCCACCCCATTTTTCCTCAGAACTACAACTTTTTGGTTTTCCCAAATGAATAACATTTTTTTTCTGGGGCTGTCAGGAGCCTGGGAAACTAAAATTAGTCACAGAGAGAAACGACAACAGCGTAAACGTGATAAGGTGCTGACTGATTCTGGTTCATTGGATTCAACTATCCCTGGGATAGAAAATACCATCACAGTTACCACCGAGCAACTTACAACTGCATCATTTCCTGTTGGTTCCAAGAAGAATAAAGGTATATTAGTGGAGCATAAGAGCTGTACCTCAAATCAGACTCCTTTAAATTAGATGTACAAAATATGGTAATGTCAAAATCTTTGAACTGCTAACGTGCTGATATACCCTTCATGAGAGTGTTGTGAACCATGTATTGGTTTAACTAATACCAGCAGTGTTAATTGATACATACTGCCTAAGGAATGGCTTTCTAAGTTAAAAGTTGCCTTTCTGCCTCAGTCACATGAGAAAACGATGTTTCTTCTCCCCATGTGTATTGCTTTGCCCCGACCCTTGCATCTCCATTTCTTACAGTGGCTAAGATATTTACTAAATGGAATTATTTGTCACCGTTCTGCATGTTGGATGCTTTCATTCCAGAATGAAACAAGCATGTTCTGGTTAGTGCAGGATCCATCTGGATTATCACCCCAGCTTTTTGAGTGTGTTTGATAAAGCCAGACCAGAACTTCAAAAGTTATTGAGCCATTCTTCCTCCCAGGTGTTGCATGTGTCACACAGCTCAGTACTGCTGGCCTCTTGGTAGCAGTTTACATTGCCATCATTGTACCCCAGAGACCCCAGTCTGCAGAGTGACACTGTTTGACTTGTTTCAGAATGTTGGCTTAGCTTCCTTTGTCTTTGTTAATGACCTTCTCATCTCTCCATCCCTCAGTTGTTTGCAGACCACATTCTTATTAGCCTGTTCACTGTTTTGTTTTATAACTTGTTGTTTATTGCTGTGGTACACCAGTGATCTTTACTTACCCATTCTTTTTCACTGTCATGGATCCACTGTGCATTAGTTTTTGTTGATGATCCTTTTTGCTGTCTTGTGCATGCCTTCCTTGCTTGCACAATCCTGTTTCATGCTTTCTTTTAATACATTGTGATCATTATGCTTTTTAGTGTCAGAGAAACAGTATTTTTTAGTTGAAATACTCTAACCTCTTGCCATATTTCCTAAGTTTTAGTCCCAAATACTGGCAGAGTTCTTAAGTTGATGTGTTTGCTTCCAGGATTGATGAAAAGGCAGCTGGTATTGTTGAGAGGTGGCAAAGTTGAATCCAATTTCAGAGCCCAGTTCTCCACTTCCTACTTAAAAGAATCTTGACAGCCATTGCAGAATAACTAACTCTGTTTATACTTGGGCAGTTTTCCATGTTAGTTGGCTAAGAATATGGTAACAACAGAACTCAGTTCCCTATGAATACATGATATGTGTTATAAAATTGACTTTTTCCAGTGTAAGAATTTGGCACTTAAAGGAGCAGTTTATTATAGATAATAAGTAAAAATTAAGTTGTATATTACTCCTAATTTAATGTGCATAGTGGCCTGTTTAGTATTAAATAAATTTTATTTCTATTTTAACCAGGTGATTCTCATCTAAATGTTCAAGTTAGCAACTTTAAGTCTGGAAAAGGAGAGTCTACACTTCAGGGTGAGAGAAAATTACATGTAACTTAAATTGAAGGCCCCTCAGAACAGAAACATGTACATGTCTCTTTCCTCACGTGAATGACACAGCAGGAAAGCAAAAGGTTTACAATTGATTTTTAATTACTAAAGAAACAGTCACAATTCAGAGATTTTGGAAAATAGGTAATAGGAAAAACCACTCCTACTTCTCAGTCTGTGCTGTGTTCTAGCTGTATATAAAAGCTTCCAGTAATAGTTTGTATACAATTTTGGTTTTTGTTTATATCACTTAAGCCAATAGAGAAGGATCTTTGTTGGATATAAGTCTAAAATAGGGATATTCAGGATAAAAGACTACCCCTGTATATTAAGAAAAAGGTTTTAGTTCTTAAATTTTTAAACTACTTCCTTAACAGTATCCAATGTTTTTGCAATAAATGGGACTATAAACTAAAGTTATTTGGATCTTCACAAATAGAAGTTCATCTTACTCAATTAAAGTGATTAAGTACAGTGATATATAGCTGACCTGAAAACAAAAGTGTTACAGAAAAACAAATTCAGAAATGAAAAGCACCTTCTCATTTCAGGCTTGTTCTTACCACTGTCAGCTTTCTTTGTACTGATTGTCAATCCTGGCTGCACATTACAATCATCTAGGGAGTTCTTGCTTCAGAAAACTCCACAGGCACATGTGTAAAAAGATACATAATATTCATAATCACTGACATACACAGTGCCTGGGCTGAGGCTCCAGGATCTGTGTTAAGGAATTTTTCAGTTGATTTTAATGTGCAGCCAGGTTGTAGAGTGACTGCCTTATACATAGTATACAAACTATGTAAAGAAAGAGCGTGTAGCTAAGGAGGAGTCTGCGTGTGCCCAATGGGTGAGTATTCTAAGTACCCTAGAATTATACCTCATTCTCCTGTCTGCTTTGTGGTACTTCCTTTGAGCCGGTCATCCCACTATGGAAGACATTACTAATGTATATGTTACAGTGAGGCCCTCTGTTCATTTTTAAGTTAGAAGGGAACCATGGTGACCATGTCACTTCACAGTTTATCTTTAAAGCTTAAGCTATTTAAAGGATAGTAACAGAAAAAGACGATGCATTTAAGCCGAGCAAGTATAGAAGCTTTGAGAATATCCCATTTTCAGTGAGAAGTCGTGTCCCTGTTTGTAATGTTTCCTTTCTTCTCTTGAAGTTTCTTCAGGGTTGAACGAAAACCTTACTGTCAATGGAGGAGGCTGGAGTGAAAAGCCCGTGAAGCTCTCCTCCCAGACGAGTGCAGGTGAGGAGAAGTGGAACTCTGTTCCACCTGCTTCTGCGGGCAAGAGGAAAGCAGAGCCATCTGCTTGGACCCCAGACACCAGCGACACTAATGTGAATGGGAAAGACTGGGGACGGAATTGGAGTGACCGTTCAATATTTTCTGGCATTGGTAAGAACCGTTAGAAAATTTTAAGTTCCTTTAAAGTTGCTAGTCGGGTATGTTTTTAAGTTTTTTAAGAATGGAAAACATCTACCAAAAGAAAATTTAATCATGCCATACAGAAATAATAGTAATAATTAACTCATCTCAGATTCTTTGCAAAAAGCAGAGTGAGGAACTTAAGTGAATAACCTTTACCATTTACTCTTTATGTAATATTTTCACATACTTTATCACATTTGATTAGCAATGTAGCTAACTAGTATAATTATATATTCTTAATGGTGCATTGATACATGCGTGAGCAGACTTTCGATTAATTCAGTACTATTGAGTCTGAATAAAAATGCCTATTTATAATTAAATTTTCTCCCAATTCTGTGTCTTTTTTTTTTTTTTTTTTTTTTTTTTTTTGTTTTTGAGACAGGGTCTTTCTTTGTAGTTCAGGCTGTCTTTGAACTTATGGCACTTGTCCTGCCTCAGCCTCCTGTGTTGGGATTTAGTTGTGTGCCACCATGCCTGGCCCTTCCGCATTTTAATAATAAAGACCAGTTTTTGAGAAGCTTATTTCTACTAGAGTTACTAAGTGTAAAACAACAGAATTTTCATTGTGTGGGTATGTGTCATAGAAAAGATATCCATGTTGAGTATGGAAAACTGCAAAAAGGAGAAAATCCACTGTTACCCACCACCCCAGTAACAATGACTGGTTTGTTTATTGTTTTTTGTTTTCTTTATGGTCTTTTTCCCCTGTGTGTGGTTTTTGTTTTTGATATAATTCAGATTAAATATGCATTTTTATTTTTCTCTTGCAACCCAACCCCTCAACATTAGAGCCCACATTTTCCTTGCTCTTTGGAAGTGTTTTTATTTAATGGCCCTCTGATGTATTGTATAGCAGAGTTTACTTAACTGCTCCTATATTATGGAGGGATAATTTTTTCCCAAAATTTTAGATAATGTTACATTGAATATGTTTATTTCAAAGTATTTTAGTATCAGTTTCTTGAAGTGATTCAAGTTAAAGAGAATATGAATATTTATAAGACTATTACATGTTCTCAATGCATTTTCTAAGAGTCATTCTCGTACTCTCAGTGTTAGTATAAGTGCCCATTTATCATATACTTATCAAGGTGGGGGAAGTATATTTTTCTTTCTTTCCTTTTTGGTTTGTCTTTTTTTTTTTTTTTTGGTACTGGGAATCAAACTCAGGACCTTGTGCTTGCCAGGCAGGTGCTTGGGCCGTTGAGCTGTATCCTGGGCCTTTGTCTTTTCTAATTTGATAAGCAAAAATATATAAATTGTTGTCATTAGCTTTTTTATATCACTAATGATATTGAATATTTTTTCACAACTTTCTTGATCATTTCTCTTTTATGAATTATCTGTTCATGTTCTTTGCCATTTGTCAAATAGCTTCTTACTGTTTGATTTGTAATTAGAATTTCTTGTTCTGGGGGCTGGGGATTTAGCTCAGCGGCAAAGCGCCTGCCTGGCAAGCGCAAGGTCGTGAGTTCGGTTCCTGGTACCGGAGAAAAACCAAAAAAAAAAAAAAAAAAAAAAAAAAAAAAAAAAAGAATTTCTTGTTCTTTCAACATAGGTTTTTTTTTTTTTCCTGTTGTACATATGATAGGTAATTTTGAATAGTTTGTTTTAACTTAAGGAGCAGTAGGTACTGGGAAGCTTTTAGTTTGTAAGTAGAAAAAAATTTCTTTCTTTGCTGTTAGCTTTTTCCATCACTTTTTAAAAAGCTAGCACTTTCACAAAGAGTGCTCTACATTGTGTGCTAATATTGTTCTTAAGATTGCCCTCCTCTCCTTCCCCTGCCATCCAAAAAAAACCGTGTGAAAAAGACATTCTGTAAACTTACACCCTCAATTTCAACAGAAACGAAAGCACACATTTCTAAAAACATCATTTCATATTTAATAAAAGAAATGATCGAGTTCTATGAAGTAATGTTAGGAACTGTGACTCCTTTTGAGATACTTGTAATTTACTTGTAAGGGCTATGTAGCATTTCACAGGTAGTTAGGATATAGATTAAATGGTACTTGCTTAGTATTGCTACAGGTAAAATTAAGCAGATTAGAGTTCCTCCCTAGTCAGACCTTCGTTGAAATTAAGAGTGAACTCTTTCAAATTAGATTTGCAGTGGTTCATGAGAGGAGAAGGTGTGTCTGTTCACCTGGAGGTACATGTTCCCTTAAAATACAGTCACATGTCACATGACAGTTATAATTTCTAAATCTGCACTGTTAAACAAATTTCATCATAGCATATACTTAAACTGTGACAGCTGTGATGTTGCTGGACAGTTAAGCATTGTCTTATAAGACCACATATACATGTGATCTGCCAGTGACCAGTGTTCCATTTTGTAACACGTGACTCTCGTCAAATATAAGAAAGGGTCTTGAAAGCACTGAGAAGTTCTCATGGTATAATTGAGTGAGCATGGACTAGTTCAGACAGATCTATTAGGTATGAACAGAATAGCTGTTCCAGCCTTTATGGACATTGTTAGTTATTTTTAACCTATATGTGTGTCATGTTTAAGGAGTAGGGATTGGTTATAATCAGTGTCAAATACCAAGAGCAATGCCTGGCCTAAACCAGTTGCTTAGTTATAGGTAATAAGGCAGTGTGGTACTGTGGAAAAAGCACTTCGGAAATTAACCGCAGTTCCAGCCATGGCTCAGTGTTTTCTGCTTTGAAACTGTATAGAAGAGTTGGCATAGGGGATAGAATAGTGGTTGCTGTAAGGGACCAGCCACATAAGAGACATTCAGGAAATAGTAGCTATTGCTGCTATTACGTAATATTATTGATTCTAATTTCTAAGGTTATCTTTAAATATTGTTATCTTAGTTTTAAGTCTGTACTTATCTTTCAAGTGTCATTGCAAATTGAAGGTTCCAAGTGACGTTCTTTATTTTAACAGCTGCTTGGTCTAGTGTGGATAGGGGAATGAATACCTCTGAACAGAATTCTGCTTCTTTTGCATCTCTCACACTTAACTCTGCTGTTTCTGGTATGTGAAAACAGTCTTTCATTTAGTTAACAAAAAAAATTTCTGTTTAAATTAATTTTAGCACTTGTTATTTGAAAAACAATCAGCACCAAGTACTGCTATCAACATAAATAATCAGTACATAAAGTGCCAGAGACCTTTAAAGGGGACAAGGGAGGGGAAGACCTAAGTCCTTACGTGCACGTGGCTTAGTTTCTTCCCGCAGAGGAGTAAGGCAGACTCTGTGACCTGATGTCACTGACCATGCACTAGCGCAGAGATGAGTGCTGTGGACAGCCTTCCTTGCAGGTCAGGATCTCACTTCTCTGTGACTCGTGTACCCCTGCCAGACCTCAGGTTGCAGTTCGGCTTTTTATTTCTGTGTACTTGTATTCATCATGAATGTATAACTAAGGACCCCCAGATAATAGCTACTTTGAATATGTTGACTTAGAGTATACACTGTTAGTGCTGGGGCTGTAGCTCAGAGCACAAGTGCCCGCCTGGCAAGTGCAAATTAGTGAGTTCGATTCCTGGTACCAAAAAAAAAAAGTATACACTATTAGTTGGGTGTGGTGGCACATGCCTGTAATTCCATCCCTCAGGAGGTTAAAGCAGTAGGGTCACTGTGAGTTTGAGACCAGCCTGGGCTACATAAGTGAGTTCAAGGCCAGCCTGAACTGCACAGTGAGACCCTGTCTCAAAAATACATATACACATACATATGTACTATTGTTAATAAGGGCCAAAATGTATAATGGGCATTGTGAGATGGAAGAAAATGTTCAAGTGGGGAGGGGGATGGGGGGGCATGAGGGAAGAAGAAGGGAAAAGTAAAAAAAAAAGAATCAAAGCTTTTGTAAATGAGGTGGGGAGGAAGGGTTGAAGGGAGGGTAGAGGAATGAGGGGGACAAGTTACCCAGGTTCAAATTCTCTATGGTGAATGTGATCGTTGTGTATACCTAAAATGTACCGATAAAATCTGATTGAGGAAAAAAGAATATACACTGTTATTAAAGAACTATCAGTTCAGCATTGCTTAGATAAATGTAGAAGACACTAGTTTGCAGTGCTTGGTTCACGTTGGAATTGACAGGCTCATTTTACTAATTATGTCCCACAGTGTCTGGTGTTACTAGTCTAGAATAAGGGTTAGCACACTTTTTCTGAAAGGGCCAACTAGTAAATATTTTAGGCTTTGTGGACCATACTCTGTTGCAGCTACTCAAACCATGGTAACAGAAAAGCAGCTAGAAATAATGTATAAATACATAATTGTGTCTGGTTCCAAAATATTATTCTTTCGATTTTTTTTTTAAGGACAGGTTTATTTGACTTGCAGTGATTTCCCCTCCAACCCCAACCATTTAAAAATGTAAGAACTATTCTTGACTTATGGACCATACAAAAACAGGATGGTTGGATTTAGCTGCCAGGTCATGGTTTGCCCCTGGCCCCTTAGACCACATTTCCTTCTGTTTCATTGTTTTCCCCTTTCAGTGACTTTGTACAACACAGATGCTGTTCTCTTCATACACTGAGACACAGCAGCATGGCTACTAAAGTAGCAGTAAGGTGACAAAGGTGCTGGTAAGCAGCTGACATGCTTAAATACACGCTACTTTCATAAGGTGTTACATTTTACATAAATACGTGTAACTGGAATATGTATCAGGCAGTTGTCACATTAGTAGAATGCTAATAAGATCACCTGTAACCAAGTGGGAATTCATATGTTAGTGAGCACTCTGAGGGGAAGAACGAGTGTACATTCGTTAGTGCCAGGAGTCTTTTCCTCTTAACCATTTCAGTGGCTCTGAAGCTAGAATGAGTATCAAAGTCACCTGTCAACTTTGACACACATGGAAATTCCGATTCTGAAAGTTGAGGCTATATTTGTGCCTGATGGACAATCACTGCTTTCATTTATATTCTGAAATTAATATATGGCCATAGAGCAAGGAGTTTCAGACCTAGCTTCCCTAATATACCCCTCAAAACTACATGCAGGGGCTGGGGATTTAGCTCAGTGGCAAAAGCGCCTGCCTGGCAAGCGCAAAGTTGTAAGTTCGGTTCCCGGTACCGGAGAAAAACCAAAATAGTATTATTTCCTTTCTTGAAACAATGCACAAAGTAATGGCCTAAAAGAAAAGAGGAGCTATTCCAAAAAAAAAAAAAAAAAAAAAAACTACATGCAGACTTCTATGTAGAGTTCTGCACATTTGGCCACCATAGCATTCATCAGATTTCTAAAAGACCTACTCTTCTCCCACACCCTAAAAAAAGGCAAAACTTGGAAATATTCCTTTCCCTTCAGGGTTCCTGAACTTTCTGAACTTTTTTTTTTTTTCCTCCGGTACTGGGAACCAAACTCATGACCTTGCGCTTGCCAGGCAGGTGCTTTTGCCGCTGAGCTAAATCCCCAGCCCCCTTTCTGAACTTCTAACAGCTGTCTTATCTGTGTTGTCCAGCCCACCTCTCTGCATGATCATCAGTCTGTTTCTTTAACTTTCCTTGGCCAAGAAAGCTCTTGATAATTCAGACATTGTCTAGTTGTGTCTTTGAGGGTCGTAAGGATTGGGGCGTACCCTGCAACACCTAGAGTTAATAATGACCAGTGACCACGTTTTGTTTGTGCTTTACTACTTGTCATTAAGAAGGAAAACAAAACAACTTTATTTTGACTTGTTGAAATTGGTTAGATAACTAGTTTGAAGTATAAATTACAGAAGACAAAATCTAATAGACTGCTACTAGGGACAAAACATTTCTGATCAGTGAAGCAGAGCTACTGTCAGAGTTAATCTAAAATTACCCTCAATTCTTAATTCTTTATAATGTCTAAAATTTTTTCTCTTAGGAAAAATTAAAAAATTAAGTCTCCATATGCAAAGTATAGAACTATTGTTATGAAACATTAGGAAATTCCATTTTTAATTTTATTGCATTCGTTTTTCATTTAAGGGTCTACTGCTGAGCCAGTTTCTCAGTCTACCACTTCTGATTATCAGTGGGATGTTAGCCGTAATCAGCCCTATATCGATGATGAATGGTCTGGGTTAAGTATGTCCTTTTAAAAATTGTTCTTTTTTTTGGTTTTGGGTTTTTTTTTCCAGAATTTTCTTTCTAGTACCCTGAATTCATGCTATATGTTTTAATCCTAATTTCTCTCCTTTATAAAGATCATAGTAATATAATGTAATACCAGATGTACTACTTGAAATCTGATTATTGAATACCTATAGAATTAACTAAATTTTCATAATGATTGAACCAATGTTTAAACATGAAGTTTTCTTATAGTGCTGTAGTTTGTTTTTTTTTTTTTTTAACAAATGGTATGGTCTGGTTCTCGTACAAAAGAAGTAGAATAAACAGGAGTGGCTTTGGATTTGTGAAGGGTGCATGTTTTTGTGATAACAGAACAGGAGCATAGGAAAGGTTAAAAGCAAGAATCATTTTTAAAAAGGAAAGAAAAGAAATGCCTTTATGTTCAGAAGTGTTTCATGTAAAAATAAAATTATTTTGAGCCGACGTGGTGGCGCACGCCTGTAATCCCAGCTCTCGGGAGGTTGAGGCAGGAGGATCGCCACAAGTTTGAGGCCAATTTGCGCTACATAGTGAGTTCAAGGTCAGCCTGAACGGCACAGGGAGACCCTGTCTCACAAAAAAATATATATACATATATATCTTGAGACTTTGTAACTCCAAATTTCAGAATATAGTTCTTTGAATTTATATATCACATTCTTTTCTTTTCTTTTTTTAAGCATTTTTGTGCTACCCTGTGGTATTTTCGGTCTTTCTTTAAAAATAAAATAAAATAGGGGCTGGGGATTTAGCTCAGCGGCATAGCGCCTGCCTGGCAAACACGAGGTTGTGAGTCTGATTCCCAGTACCAGAAGAAAAAACAGAATAAAATAAGAAGAACAATTTTTAGGGGTCCTTGTATCGGTTTTTGTGTTTTTTTTTTGTTTTGTTTTGTTTTGTTTTTGTCTTTTTGAGACAGAGTCTTGCTATGCAGTTCAGGCCGGCCTTGAGCTCACTTTGTAGCCCAGGCTGGTCTTGAACTCACAACAATCCTCCTGCCTCAGCCTCCCGAGTGCTGGGATTACAGGCGTGCGCCACCACGCCCGGCCAGGGGTCCTTGTATCAGTTGGAAATAATTTAACTTTAAAAATATGTTATCTTGTGAAGTAATACTATATATATACATGTATATGTGTATATATATATAGTGCATTTTAAGCAAAAAAAAGTTTTATGGGGTTTCTTTTTTTGTTAATTGTTGTTGCTGTTGTGGTTGGTGGTGCTGGGAATTGAACCCCAGAACCTTTGCATTAAGCCATATCCCCCAGCCCTCTTTTTAAGACAGGGTCTGCTAAGTTACCCGTGCTGGGCTCAAACTTGGGATATTCCAGTTTGAGCCTCTCAAGAGTGCTGGGATTACATATATGAGTCATCACACCCAGTACACTTATTCTTTGATGTATGGAGCACCTATTGCAGTGCTTTATACACAAATGTTTGTAGTAGAAATAATAATAATAAAAGTAAGCACTAGACTATGTGCCTAGCACTGGTCTAAGTCTTGCATGTTATCAGTTGACTTAATACTTAAAACAATTCCCTATACTTTCACGATGCAGAAACTGAGGCAAAGTTGCTTAACTTTTCCCAATCCAGACAGCTAGTTAAATAGTGGAAAGTGCTATTCTGGCCTTGTTAGTCTGGCTCCAGGGTTCATGCTCTTTACCCACTACATGGTGTAGGTTTGGTGGTGCTGCTAATCACAAAGGTAAGCTTGCACCACAGTGGTTGACATAGTAATTACAGGTTAAGGGCAGTGATAATGTAAAGGTTGATGACGGAGGGCCATACTGTAAATTGCCCTCAATTGCTGTCTGAAAATTAGCCAGGTGGAGGTTAGAGACCTAGTGTAGAAGGTAGATCTGAGTTTTGGGGGATTGTTGGTTTTTTTTTTTTTTTTTTTTTGTCTTTTTGAGGCAGGGTCTCGCTATACAGTTCAGGCTGGCCTTGAATTCGCTTTGTAGCCCAGGCTGGTCTTGAACTCGCAATGATTCTCCTGCCTCAGCCTCCCGAGTGCTGGGATTACGGGTATGCACCACCACACCTGGCTTAGATCTGAGTTTTGATCCTGACTCCAAAATCCATTATCGCTTGGGCCTTGTCACTTATTTTGGAATCTAAATTAATTAAACTGTATAAGTTGGAACACATAAAGAATGGTCTGCTATATGCAAAGCAGAATTAAGGAGTGATTTCGGGAAGCAGCAGTAAGATATCTTGGGCTGCGTGAGTTTAGGTTGAGGAAAACTGAGCAAATAGGGCTCCAGGCTCTGCTGCTGGACAAAGTAGCTCATTTTTAGCTTATTGTATTAGATGCTTTAAATATTTAAAAACGTGATTGACGCTGAAGATTTTTAAAAACACAGAGTACAGAGCTCTGTACTTAAGTAGTATGTATCAGGAACACCATCTTCCTCAAGTTTGTCTCTGTTGGCAGTCTTAAACTCTACACTCATTTTCTCTTAATTTTGTCTTTCTTCTTGCCATTTTAGTGGGGCTGTTTTTTGATACTGAGTGGGTTTACTACTAATTTATAGGATTGTGCTTTTACTTTTGAGGTTAATCTACAAAGTATATTAAGTTGGCTTTAGATTTACAGTGTAGTTCAGTGTGGCTCAGGTATTCTCTGTGGTTTGCTAGTGCCAGTTTCTGACAGGAAGGCATTGAATTTGCCCAAGTTTTTGAATATAAGGTCAAGGTGCTATAGTACAGAAGGTAACATTTTCAAAAATGAGTGTTTAAAAAAGAAGTGAGTGTTGATCTGTTATTATCTTGACTATAAAAAAGTTAACATTATTATAACCCTTGTAAAAAGTAGGTGTTAAGACTTTATTTTCGTTGGCCCACAGGAATGAATGAATTCATTGCAACATAGTGAGATTAGGCCAAGAGCATCAGGTTTCAGGATAGATTACCTGAGTTTGAATCGTAGATTTCTTGCTTTTGGCCTTACACAAGTTGCATGATCATTCTCTGCCTCAGTTCCTCATCTGTTGAGATGATAGCTCCTCCCCCACAGAGTTGTGAAGGTGACATGAGTTCTACACATAAGCAGTGAACACATTACTGCGAGTAAGTCAGGGTCTGGTGCCTGTTGCTGTCTTTCTAGCGGCAGAATTAGTAACCTACTGAGTGGGTTGATCAGCAACCCACTTCAGTTGTGTAAACTGAAGAGTGTTTAACTGTGCATAAGCAGTTTGTTTTTCTTTAATGTATTAAGGTTGAATTAAGTTCTGACAGAAATAGCTGGCAACCAAATACAAGCTAGCAATGAGATGTTTACACCTAAAACATCAAACTACAAGCAAATTAAATGGAGAGACAGCTGGGTATGGTGGTGCACATTTGTAATCTCAGCATTTGTTTGTAATCCCAGCATTCAGGAGGCTGAGGCAGGAGGATCCTTGCAAGTCCGAGACCAGCCTGGGCTACAAAGTGAGCTCAAGGCCAGCCTGAACTGCACAGGGAGACCCTGTCTCAAAAAGAGAAAAATTTTTTTTTTAATTTTTCTTTTTTTTTTTTTTTTTAAATTGCGAAGGCCAGGCATATAGCCCAGCAGCACAAGCACCTGCCTGGCAAACACAAGGTCCTAAGTTCAATTCTCGGTACCCCCAAAAAAATTACTCATTGAAAAGTTTCCTGTTGACAATTTTTGGTTTAATTAATTGGTTTTTACTTTAAAGCAGTTTTACTTGATCCCAGTTTAAAAAAAAAATGTGATAGCAGTAAACAGAAAAGTCACTCTAAGACTTTGTAAAATCAGTACAGAGTTATACCAGTACTTAACGAGATTTTTGTACCTTACCACCACTTCCTACCATTTTATTTTATTCAAAAAATGGGTCATATGCTAGTATATTGTTTATTCAATTGCTTAAACTTTTTTTAACTTGATAGTTTTTTTTCTGACAAGAAGTCTTAGAGATATGGCTAGTTGTCAGCAATTTCATAAATCTGGGTTTCTTATCAATAAAGTTTTAAGCAAAACCCATGGCAGCTCTGACATCTGAATCTCCTTACCAGTATTGTTAATGAGTGCTTAATACAATTGGTTCCTGACACCTGCTAGATCTCTTTGTACTTTTAAAGATTATTGTACAGTCAATACATATTTAGTGTGTCTTATTGAGAGATTTGTCAGGATTGTGAGAAAGTTCTAATTACAGATTCCAAATAGCTCAGAAATGGCCTTGGTGTTGCTACAGCAGTTACCATTTATTGAGCACCTACTACATTGCTGTGAACTGCTTTATATCTACATATCTGTATAATCCTCCCAGCATTCATGAAGTTGAGATCTAGCCCAGTAAGGTTAAGAAATTTAGCTGGGCATGATGGTATACGCTTGTAATCCCCGCGCTCTGGGAGACTGAGGCAAGGCAAGAACATTACAAGTGTAAGCCCAGCCTGGGCAAGTTGGTTACTTAGCGAGACACTGTCTCAGTGGGGCAACCTACTCAGGCCCCTCTTCTGTCCCTCTCTTAGACAGAAGCTTGCTTTCCCTCAATAAATATATTCTGCTCTTAAAAAAAAAAAAGACACCTCAAAAATTTAAAAAGGTTTTGTTTTTTAGTTTTTTTGTCTTTTTGAGACAGGGTCTCACTAGGCAATTCAGGCTGGCCTTGAGCTCACTTTGTAGCCCAGGCTGGTCTGGAACTCTCAACGATCCTCCTGCCTCAGCCTCCCAAGTACTGGGATTACAGGCGTGTGTGTGCTACCACGCCCAGCTTAAAAAGGATTTGTGATGTAGCTCAGTGCAATGGCCCCAGGTTCAATCCCTGGTATACCCTCCCCACCAAAAAAAAGTAAAGAAATTTAACCAAAATCACATTGTTGCTAAGTGTAGGAGAAATATCCAGATATACATCTGGTGAACTGTAAGGCCCATGCTCTTATCTGTGTTAATACTATGTAATAGTAACTCCAAATACCTGCTCATGGTAGTGATTTAGAAATACAGGGAGTGGTTCCTTTTTTATAACTTACTTCACTCTAATCACTTGTTCTGTTTGTCCTCCACTAGACTATCAGTTTGTTTACCTGCAGTCTTTCCCTGTCCTCTACTTCCCCTTTCTTTCCTCTTCCCTCTATGGTTCAGTCCATCACTGTTCAAAATTGTCTGATATGCCTCCCTATTTCTATCCCTGAGCAGATAGACTCTGTGCAGGGAGGGATTCTGTTTTACTGACCTCAGTATTTCTAGAACCTGCCTAGCTTCAATTCTGGTGCATAGTAAGTGCTTAATAAGGGTTAAATAGGTGAAATTCCTGTAATTCCACTTTTAAGATACGTTTATTATTAATGTGTTATTTCCTTCTGTCTCTTCCTCACATATATTTGGGATCATGCTATGCAAACAGTTTTGTCTGATTTTCTTTTATGTAAGCATTTTCTCAGATTATTATATGGTCTTCTAGAAGCCTTCATGAAGATGTATTATGGTATCTTTCCCTAAATAAAAATAAGAAGAGTTCACCTGGAAAATGTAAGGGTAGCCATAATAATAAGAGTAAAACAAGATAAGTCTTTTCAGATACTATAATGTATTAATGTATAATGTAGTTATGTATGGCATTATCCTAAGAATAAATGAGTGGAATAGAGTAGAGTTTCAGAACTAAACGGATGTGTATATGAAAAAGTTTAACATTTGATAAAAGTAGTAATAGGTAGTAGTGGGAAATGGTTGGATTTTTGCAATTAAATAATGTTGGGACAGAGCTAGGCGTCATGGTGCACGTCTGTAATCCCAGCACTCGTGAGGTAGGAGGATAACTGTGAGTTTGAGGCCAGCCTGCACTACATAGTGAGACCCTGTCTCCAAAACACAAAAAAGACACACAAAAAAATTATTAAAACTATTGTTGTCAATAGAGTCCTATCTTACAAGAGCATATATGAGAGTGCATGATGCGTAGAAGACGGAAAAAGGAATTAACTTTGACAGCTCCATGTTTTCCAGGATACAGTCAAACAGTGTTTGCCCTTTTTAGGGTAAGTCAGTGATAGCTTCTTAAAGAAAGTAAAATTTTAGTGCCTCTTGGATGAAAGAAAGGGATTTGGAAATCAAATTAAATTGATTTTTGAGACAAAGGTATATAAAGCCCTGAAAGCAACTTATATGCTTTTGAAATAATCAGATGATAGGAACACTGAGTAATCTGGGAAATGCAAGAAGGTACATGTTAAGCATTAAAAGAAGTTACACATTCTCTCAGGGTCTGGTAAATTTGAAGAACCTAATCTTGGAAAGTTCATAAAGATGAGGAAAGGTAGTATAAAACAACAGATTTAGGAGTATAATTTTGGTACTGCTGTTACAGATTAATTCTGTATCAGAAAAAAAAATTAATTGTTAGGCCGGGCATGGTGGCGCACACCCGTAATCCCAGCACTCCAGAGACTAAGGCAGGATTATCGTTGCAAGTTCGAGGCCAGCCTGAACTGCATAGTAAAACCCATCTCAAAAAGACATACACACACAAAGATGGACAGTGAAAACAGTACAGAGTCAGGAGACTGAAAGGGAGAAAATGGAATTAAGTGGTTAGATACAGCACTGTTTTCTGGCGTGTCTTAAAACTCTATTTTAACCATAAGCCTGGCAGAATTTGGACAAAAGCTGTTACCATTGTGTTAGTCTAGCTCTTTTTAAATTGCTTGGGAGAAAGAAGAATAATGATTTGAAATTACAGTTTAAGTCCCCATAAGGAATAATTAGTTTTCATTCATGGTGGAAATGTTATATAACTAATTGATTCACACTTAAATTTTAGATGGCCTGTCTTCTGCTGACCCCAGCTCTGACTGGAATGCACCTGCAGAAGAGTGGGGGAATTGGGTAGACGAAGAAAGAGCTTCACTTCTAAAATCCCAAGAACCAGCTCCTGATGATCAGAAGGTAAGGCGTTAGTGGGTGTCCATTGTGAAAGAGTCTGAGGGAGAAGAGTCAGATCACAAAGGCTGAGACCACGAAGAGTGTCAGGAAGACCATAGCAGACGGCAGCATCAGAAGCAGCAGCTTGGTTAGTAACATTAGGACTGAAAAGCATCTCTGGATTTGCTTCTGTGTAATCGAGGCGGTTTCATTAGAAATCTCGGGTTGAGGGCTGGGGGAGTGGCTCTGTAGTACAGCATCTGCTCAGTATGCAGGACACCCTCAGTTCAGTCTCCAACAACAAAAGAGAAAAGACACAGAAGCCATATTTCAGGAATCTGAATGATACAGAGACAAAAGTAATAATAACAAATACTGTTTTTTTTTTAAAAAGTAAGTTTGGGGGCTGGGGATTTAGCTCAGCGGCAAAAGCGTTTGCCTGGCAAGCGCAAGGTCGTGAGTTCGGTTCCTGGTACCGGAGAAAAACTGAAAAACCAAAAAAAAAATAAATAAATAAAAAAAAAAGTAAGTTTGCACCGGGTGTAGTGGTGCACAGTTGTAATCCCAGCACTGGAGGCTGAGGTAGGAGGATTGCTACAGGTTTGAGGCCAGCCTGGGTGGGCTACATAGTGAGTTCAGAGGCAGCCTGAATTATACAGGAAGACCCTATCTCCAGACAACAACAAAAAAAGTTTGCATAGGAAAAGGGAAGAAGTAGTAGGTGACAGCCACATACGGTGCCAGGAAGGGTTATGTGGAGGGTGATTTTGTTGTTGTAGTCAATAGTAGGAGAGATTTTAGTTCAAGGCTGGCAGACTTGTTCGCAGGAGCTGTATAGTCTGACGCAGCCATAGGTAATATGGAAATGAGCTTTATAGAAAGCGGTGTTAAATGGAATAGTGTATCCATAGACAAAAAGGAACAGCACCTAGAATAAGTAAAACGTTAAACATACGTAGTAAGAATACATTGGACTAACAGGGTAATGTCCTGGGAGAGGCAGGCGACAGTGGAGAAACCATAGGCCCAAGTGAGTAGGTTGGCCTTTAATCCACTGTTTCGAACTTCTTTTGTGTCCATCCCGTCAATTTTTCTATAAATGTATGGGTATCCACTTAGAAAAACTTCATATGAGCGGTACGCTGTATCTTAGTAACTTGCTTGTCGGTAAGCATGATTTTGAGATTCTCTTCATACTGCTATTACTGTAGCAATGCCATACATCTTAGCTTTGGAGACTGGAGAAAGGGAGAGGCACTAATGGGCGAGAGGGAGAAGAGACTAAATCAGTGTAAAGGAGAACAGTAAACAGGCAATATGCAGGTTGAGGTAGGAAAAATGAGTTTCAGATTGGGCCCACAGGAGCTTTCTAGTACTCTGCCTTATCACAAGGAAATCATTCAAATATGGAGTCTACCCAAAAAAGGTACACACACTTCTGGAAGAGAAAAACAATAACTGTCTAGAAGCCAGCGACCACAACTTTGAGTACCTTTTGTAATTGCAGAGGCGGAAGGTAACTTACATTACCCTCATGATGTCTGAGTAAACTTAGTATTAAATTTTTTTTGTTTTTTTTTTCTGAGATGGAGTCTCACTGTGTAGTTTAGGCTGGCCTCAAACTCAGCAATCCTCCTGCTTCAGCAGGGATTGCAGGTGTGCACCACCACATCCAGCTAGTATTAAAATAAATAAATATATAGGGTTTTTTTTGTTTTGGTTTGGTTTTTTTGGTACCAGGAATCTAACTCAGGACCTTGTGCTTGCCAAGCAGGCGTTGTGCTGCTGAGCCATCTTCCTGTCCCCAATTTTTTTGTCTTTTTTTTTTTTTTTTTTT